ACACTCACTCCTAGATTCATTCTCCCCTTTGGGTATTGCTCCAAAGTTTTGGAGAATTTGGTCTAGAGAGATCTCGTCAAGATGGCAGTGTAAGCAGATTCTGAACTTGTCTTCTCCCATGAACACAACCAGGTTGCAACTATTTTTGGAAAAATTACCCTGGAGAGAAAACTGAAAACTGGATAAAAAGAGCCCCCACAACAAGGGACAGTCCTGACTAAGGCAGACGAGGCAGAAATTCCCACTGGAGAGAAAAAAAAGCCACCTTTGGGAGCTGCAGAGCTTCTCAGCTGGCCAGGCGGGAGCCACCCTAAGGTACACAGCCCTCCCTGGAGGAGTGAGGTCTGGAGCAGGGGCCGATACAGCTATAAGCACCCTGCAGACTCAGCCCAACCCAGACGAGGGCCTTACTGTCCGGCTTTTCTGGCTATTAACTGCAGTGAGGATACCCCCAGAAAAGCTATCGGCCAAAAGTCTAAAAGACCCGGGTCTTAAAGGGCCCACGCACAAACTCACTCACTGCAGCAACCTAAAATCACCAGAGAGAAGGCTGACAGTCCTTTGGTGAAACGAAACTCACCTGGTGGGCTCTGGAGGCATCTTGGTGAGAGGAGGGAACTCTCCGGAGACTGAGACATTGGTGGGCGCCATTATTCTGACCTGGTCCAGGCGTACTGACACAGACCTTGGTGGGCGCCATTGAGGTTCTTCCCTTGGCCTGTTAGCACAAAAATCAACTCAAAATAGATTAAAGTCTTGAATGTAAGACCTGAAACCATAAAAATCTTAGAGGAAAATATAGGCATTATACTCTTTGACATTGGTTTTATTAGTCTCTTCGAATACCATGTCTACTCAGACAAGAGAAACAAAAGAAGTCCATTCAGAAATTGATAAACAATAATGTACATCCGAAATTACACAATGTTATAAACCATTATGATCTCAATGAAATTACTTTTAAAAAAAATTGGCAGAGGATATGACCAGACATTTTTCCAAAGAAGATATACACAGATGGCCAGCAGACTCATGAAAAGATGCTCAACATCACTAATTATTAGAGAAATGCAAATCAAAAACTACAATCAGGGGCCAGCCAGGTGGCGCAGTGATTAAGTTCACACGTTCCACTTCCACAGCCTAGGGTTCACCAGTTAGAATCCCGGGTGCAGACATGGCACCACTTGGCAAGCCATGCTGTGGCAGGCATCCCACATATAAAGCAGAGGAAAACGGGCATGGATGTTAGCTCAGCACCAGTCTTCCTCAGCAAAGGGAGGAGGATTGGCAGCAGATGTTAGCTCAGGGCTAATCTTCCTCAAAAACAAAATAAAACAAAAAGAACTACAATGAGATATCACCTTACACCTGTCAGAATGGCTATAATTAATAAGGCAAGAAATAACAAATGTTGGAGAGGATGTGGAGAAAATGGAACCCTCATGCACTGCTGATGGGAAGGCAACCTGGTGTAATCACTATGGAAAAGACTATAGAGATTTATCAAAAACTTAAAAATATAAATATCATCTAGCTATCCCGCTACTGGAAATTTATCCAAAGAATATGAAATCCACTCTTCAAAGAGATTTATGCATCCCCATGTTCATCACAACATTATTCACAATAGCCAAGACATTGAAGCAACACAAGGGCCCATCAGTGAATGAATAGATAAAGAAGATGTGCTGTATATATACAACAGAATCCTACTCAGTCATAAAAAAGACAAAGTTGTGCCATATGCAAAAATATGGATGGACCTTGAGGGAATTATGCTAAGCGAAATAAGCTTGACAGAGAAAGGTTAATATTGTATGATTTCACTCACATGTGGAAGACAAATTTATGGATAAAAACAGATTTGTGGTTACCAGAGGGGAAGGGGGTTGGGGGAATGCAAAAGGGGTAGAGAGGCACATATGTATGGTGGTGGGTAAAACTAGACTATTGGTGGTGAACATGACGCAGTCTATTCAGAAACTGAACTACAATAATGTATACCTGAAATTTACACAATATTATAAGCCAATATGACCTCAAAGAAGAAGTTTTAAAAACTAATAATAAAATGACAAAATTGGGGGGACCTGAGCAACCTAGAAGGGAGTAGGTCTCTCACTGGAAAATCTGAACAGCTATATGTCGGTGGATTTTGACAGTGGAAAGAATGAGAATTAAGTAGTGTGTCTGCCAAGATGAAGTTAAAGCACCTTCCACTAGTTTGTGTCATCTCTTTATTCTAATGGACAAGCCTTGGAATGTTCCTCAGTTCTTCAGAAACCTTCTCTTCCTGGAAGGGCAGAATATCCTCAGTGTTAAACCATGAGGTTATCCCCACACTCAGTGCCTTCAAAATCTAATGAACAGAAGAATCTAGGGGCTCTGACCAAACTAGTGACATAATTGGGGTGGAGAGTGCTTGTGATTGGACAACTGTCTCTAGCAACTTGAGGAGGAGATTTTTCAGGAGGATGGCAGAGGCCAAATTAATTACTAGTCTTAAATCATACTTTATTTACACCCTAGGGTGTTAATATTTTTAAATAAACTTTTTTGAAGTATAATATACATGCAGATATTATTTCAAACCCTGGACCCCCTTTCTATAAAACATCTCTGAATTTGGGTTTCCAGATTCATTAAGATTTTCTATGGGGATCTCCCTGATGCCCCTCAATTTTTATTGTCCATCTCCTGTCTTTGAATTTTCCCATGATGGAGACCAGCATTGGGTTTGTGATTCACAGACCATCATTGACTATTCAAATAATTATCTTGGAATAGTTATTTGTTTATTTGTTATTTGTCTTTAAAATCTTCTCAAATTAATTTTGTTAGTAAACAAGTTGTCCCAAGTTGAGTTCTTTGTGAAGCCAACTCTGAGACAGTGATTAACATGAGGATGTTTAAGAGGCAGACCTCCTGAATTCCACACCTGTGGAAAGGTAGATGTGTAGTAAGTAATTCATCCTCACCTAAAAAGAGTAATGGCCTTTGTCCCAGTTCCAGGGAGCTAACATTTAAACCCTTGAAATTTCCCTAGTGTTAGGAGTGATTGGTTATTCATGGTGGGCTCCCATCCTGTGGATCATACGTGATATTTTATGCTAATGAAATGACTCAGGATAGAAACTGGTCATGCAGAAAATTCCAATCATGTGATTAAAGCATTGCAGCTTTCGGCAAATTGATATCAGCCCAGCCTCTGGGGAGGGAGTCTGGAAATCAAGTTCAACTATATGGACAATAATTCAACTAATCATGTCTATATAATGAAGCCTCAATAAAAATTCTGGACATTGAAGCTCAGGTGAGATACCTGGTTGGCAATATTCTTTAAGTATTGTCACACATTGTAGACAGGAAGAGGTAATAGTTCTGGTGTCTGGACTCCATGGGGAAAGGACAAGAAGCTTTACATATGGAGGCCCTCCGTACATATGTGCCCTATGTGTATCTTCCTTTGGATAATTCTAATTTGTATCATTTTGCTATAACAAAACTGTCATCATAAGTCCAATGGTTTCCTGAGTTCTGTGAGCCAATCCAGTCCATTATCAAATCTGTGGGAGTCCCCACAGTTTGAATCATTCTAGCAAAATATTGAATGTGAGGGAGTCCCTGAAAATGTAGCCAACTGGTCTGAAGTGAGGGCAGTCCAGTGGGACTGTTCCCTCAGACTTTACAGTTTGGCAAACTCTTTGTAGCAAGCAAGAACAGTGGAAAAAGTCAAGCCAAGTTGAAGCCTTTCAAAGGCCTCCAAAAACCACCAGGGAGCTCTGGAGCTAGGATAATCCCTTGGAGTCAGCTGGAATTAGGGCCAAAGGGCTAAATGTTTACACCTGCATTGAAGAGTCATCAGGAATGGCCTGCCTAAGGAAGTAGGCATGACCTTATTTAAGGTGACTTCCTGCAACTGAGACAGATCCCTATAGGGCTTGATTGCTGAGGGCTGAGTAACATACCCACCATGTGGAGTAACATGTTCCTCGTTTCTGACAGGAGATCATTTTATTATTATTGTGGTAAAATAACATAAAATTTACCATCTTAACGATTTGTAAGCGTACGGTTCTGTGGCATTAAGTACATTCACATTTTTGTGCAACCATCACCACCATCCATTTCCAGAACATTCCCATTTTCTGAATCTGAAACTCTGTCCCCTTTAGACACTAACTCCCCATTTTCCACCCCCAGTCCTTGGCAACAACCATCCTACTGTCTGTCTCTACGAATTTGAGGCACCTAGAGACCTCCTATAACTGGAGTCATACAGCACTTGTCCCTTTGTGTCTGGCTATGTTATGTGATTAGCGAGATATTAGATGAAATGGGAGGGAGAATTATCAGGGAAATTGAGAATTTCCTTTGCTCCTGTTGTCCTCTCCCATTTTCTCCTTGGGAATCATACATTCTAGTTTTCCCAGGAAAGTCTCAATTGATAATTGTTTATTCAAACTCAGTATTAATAGTGCCAAATTTAAATTTAAAAATACTACCCTGGTTTGGACAGGAAATTTAATTATCACTCTGCTTTCTCAAGAATCTGACGAAGATCATTAAGGAGCAAAAATATAGTAGATATCTTCGTCCTTAAGGTAGGGTTTAGATCCTCCTAACATATAGAAAAAAATCTTGGGAAAAGGATAGAAACAAAAAATAACAAGAAAGAGAGAGCTGTGATTATTTTTCAATGACAGAAATAAGACTGCTCGTGACCAAGAGTCTTGGGTAATGTGTCAGGAAAGTGAAAGGGTATACAGATGTGTGCCGTATAATCCTAGGGGGGCTATGACTTAAGTAGGGAGTCCAAAATAATCTCCAAGCTTTATTACAGCTACAGTAAGAGGGAAAATTGTGTAAATTGAAAGCAGAGAGCTGTATAGGTACATATACACTATATGACTGCAGACTCAGAATTTCTTGTTATACTGTTTGGTTTTGCTGCATTTTCCAGGCATATGAACCAAAAGATAGCACAAGTATTGAGATTAGGCTATTCTGCTGACAATCCTCCACAACACATTCTTGATGTGACTATTCCTCAGGCTATAGATGAAGGGGTTCAGCATAGGAGTGACCACAGTGTACATCACCGAGGCCACTGCTTCCTTCCTCAGGGAAGATGAGACACTGGAACCGAGGTACACCCCAAGGCCTATTCCATAAAATAAGCAAACAGCTAACAGGTGAGAGCCACAGGTAGAGAAAGCCTTGTACCTCAGACCTGATGATGAGATCCTCAGTATGGAGGAAATAATTCGAGTATAAGAGTAAAGGATCCCTGTGAGTGGAACACCACCAAAGATGGTACCAATAAAATAGATTAATATGTTATTGGTGGAAGTGTCAGAACAGGCAAGTTTGAGGAGTTGAGGAGGGTCACAGAAGAAATGAGGGATTTCCACATCTGCACAGAAGGTAAGCTGTGACATCATCAAGTAGTGCAGCTGGGAGTCCAACAGACTGACGAAAAATGACACCAGGACCAACAAGCCACAGAGGTGGAAGTTCATGATGGCTGGATAGTGCAAAGGATGACAAATAGCCACAAACCGGTCATAGGCCATCACGGTCAGGAGTAGACTGTCTAAACATACAAAAAGAGAAAATGAGGACACCTGAGTTAAGCAGCCTGCATAGGTGATGGATTTGCTGTGTGTCTTGAGGTTAACCAGCATTTTGGGGACTGTAGTGGTGCTGAAACTGATGTCAGCCAAAGACAGGTTTGAAAGGAAGAAGTACATGGGGGTGTGGAGGTGGAAGTCAAAGCTGACAGTCAGGATTATGAGCAGGTTCCCAAACACGGTGACCAGGTACATGGTTAGAAAAAGCCCAAAGAGTAGGGGTTGCAATTCCAGATCATCTGAGAAACCGAGGAGGTGGAATTCTAAGACACTTGTTAGATTCTGTGGTCCCATCTAGATATGACACCTTTTAAAAAAGCAGAGAGTGTTGAATAAACAAAACACAGTGAAGAGGCACCCAGCCAAAGGTTAATATTTTGCATTCAAGCAATTCAAAACTATTCACACTTGAAACCTTACACCCCATTACCTTCAGAGATATTTCTCAGTTATGAACTGTCTTTAGAACTCATTCCTTACTGATGTCAGGACTATTCACCTGTTTCTACATACACTCACTTTAGAACCACTGAGCCAAGATTATTAGATAAGGAAGGACATTTGAGATAACAAATCCATGAACACAGTAAAATATCTGCACCCTACTTTCGAAGGAAAAATTAAAAATAAGAAATGTCATTCTCTTAAGAAAAAAAAGTATACAAATTAAAGGACACTAAGAAGCAGTCATGTGTACTTTATCTTATCCAAATGCAGTGCAAGAAATGTCATTAATTTGGAATATAGCCCTAGATGAGCTAAAACACCACTAGCTAGATTCTAAATTAAAATAGAATGCTCACAATCATGTAGCATTTTATATGCCAATGATCCTCCTGGATTCCTTTTTATTTGATTGTATGACATCCATCTTCCATGGGTATAAGCGCCCACTCAAATGTGTGAGTGTCTGCTCAAAGTCTTTTCAAAATAATTCAAATGTATAAATATTTGGCCTTGATGAACTTCACATTTGATAAATAAGTTTTTGGTAAATGCACAGAGTCATATAGCATCACTGATCCAAAAGGTGGCATTAATTTACAATGCACCAATGATTAAGCAATAATTACATTTTGATGAACAATCTGCATCTATCTTTCATTTTTTGCCAGGTTATTTTTTTATCATTGCTACACAATCTCAGGGAAACATCCGAGGTTAATATCATTTTTTGCTGTTTTTGTAGTGGCTTGGTGAAAATTCTTACATATGTTTCTAATCCTAAACATTTGTGAAGCGTTGTTTTTCCCTCCAATCCAACCTCTTATGAATAGTTGAGAAATTCAGAAGAAAGTCCAGGCCTGAATCCTTAATATGGCCTGCCTGTCCCAGTTTAAGAGCTTTTTAAGTCAATCCTTCCTACAAAGAGGTATTGCATTTCTCCTAAATTCAGCTCCCTGAACGCAATTGGGTCTTCATTTCTCTTATCAGGTGAAAAATGACTTAACTTGGAAACTAAAAAATACCTGGAGAAAAACGAAAATGAAAATACAATATACCAACTCTTAGGGGATGAAGCAAAAGCTGTCATAAGAGGGAAATTCATAGCAATATGGGCCCACCTCAACAAACAAGAAAAATCTCAAATAATGAATCTTAAACTGCACCTAATAGAATTAGAAAAGGAAGAACAAACAAAGCCCAAAGTCAGCAGAAGATAGGAAATAGTAAAAATAAGAGGAGAAATAAATGAAATAGAGACTTAAAAAAAAAAAGCAGTAGAAAGGATTAATGAAACTAAAACCTGGTTCTTTGAGAAGATAGACAAAATTGACAAACCTTTCCCAGACTCATTAATAAAAAGAGAGAGAAGGCTCAAATAAAAAAATTAGAAATGAAAGAGGAGAAATTACAAAGGATACTGCAGAAATACAAAGGATTGTAAGAGAATATTATGAAAAATTATATGCCAACAAATTGGACCATCTAGAAGAAACTGATAAATTCTTAGATTCATACAGCCTCCAAAAACTGAATCAAGAAGAAAAAAAAGAATCTGAATAACCAATCACAAATAAACAGATTGAAACAGTCATCAAAAACCTCCCCAAAAACAAAAGGTCAGGACCAGATGGCTTCTCTGGAGAATTCTACCAAATACTCAAAGAAGATTTAATACACATCCTTCTCAAGCTGTTGCAAAAAGATGAAGAAGATGGAATGCTTCCTAACTCATGCTATGAGGCCAACATTACCCTGATGTCAAAACCAGACAAGAACAACACAAAGAAGGAAAACTACAGGTCAATGTCACTGATGAACATAGATGCAAAAATCCTCAGCAAAATATTGACAAACTGAATACAGCAATACCTTAAAAGGATCATACACCACGATCAAGTGGGATTTATTCCAGGGATGCAGGGATGGTCCAACATCTGAAAATCAATCAACGTGATACACCACATTAACAAAATGAGGAATAAGAATCACGTGATCATCTCAGTAGATGCAGAGACAGCATTTGACAAGATCCAACATCCATTTGTGATAAAAACTCTCAATAAAATGGATATAGAAGGAAATTACCTCAACATAATAAAGGCCATGTGTGACAAACCCACAGCCCACATCATACTTAAGGGTGAAAAACAGAAAGCCATCCCTCTGAGAACAGGAACAAGACACGGATGCCCACCCTTGCCCCTATTCAACATAGTACTGGAGGTTTTGGCCAGAGCCACTAGACAAGAAAAAGAAATAAAAGGAATCCAAAATGGAAACAAAGAAGAGAAACTCTCACTATTTGCCGAAGACATGATTCTATATTTAGAAAACCCTAAAGAATCCATCAGAAAACTATTAGAAATGATAAACAACTACAGCAAAGTTACAGGATACACAATCAACTTTTAAAATTCAGCTGCATTTCTATACACTAACAATCAACTAGCAGAAAGAGAAATCAAGAATACAATCCCAGTTACAATTGCAACAAAAAGGATAAAATATCTAGGCATAAACTTAACCAAAGAGGTGAAAGACCTGTACACTGAAAACTATAAGACATTATTGAAAGAAATTGAAGAAGCCTTAAAAAAAATGGAAAGATATTCCATGTTCATGGGTCCAAAGAATACAAAGTTAAAATGTCCATACTACCTAAAGCAATCTACAGATTCAACGCAATCCCAGTCAGAATCCCAATGACGCTCTTCATATAAATAGAACAAAGAATCCTAAAATGTATATGAAACAACAAAAGACCCCAAATGGCCAAAGCAATCCTGAGGAAAAAGAACAAAGCCGGAGGCATCATAATCCCTGACTTCAAAATATACCTCAAAGCTATAATAGTCAAAACAGCACGGTACTGGCACAAAAACAGACACATAGATCAATGGAACAGAATTGAAAGACCAGAAAGAAAATCACACATCTATGGACAGTTCATCTTCTAGAAAGGAGCCGAGAACATACAATGGAGAAAGGGAAGTCTCTTGAATAAATGGTTTTGGGAAAACTAGACAGCTACATGAAAAAGAATGAATGTAGACCATTATCTTGCACCATACACAAAAATTACCTCAAAATAAAGTAAAGACTTGAATGTAAGACCTGAAACCACAAAACTCCTAGAAGAACATATAGGCAGTACACTATTTGACATAGGTCTCAGTAGCATCTTTTCAAACACCATGTCTACTTTGGCAAGGGAAAAAAAAAGAGAAAGTTAACAAATGGGACTACATCACACTAAAAAGTTTCTACAAATCAAAGGAAACCATGAACAAAATGAAAAGACAACCCAGTAACTGAGAGAAAATATTTGCAAATCATTTATCTGACAAGGGGCTGATCTCCAAAATATATGAAGAACTCATACAACTCAACAACAAGAAAACAACTCAATCAAAGAATGGGCAGAGGATATGAACAGACATTTTTCCAAAGAAGGTATACAGATGGCCAATATGCACATGAAAGGATGTTCAGCATCACTAATTATTAGGGAAATACAAATCAAAACTACAAAGAAATATCACCTTACACCTCTCACAATGACTGTAATTACCAAGACAAAAAACAACAAATGTTGGAGAGGTTGTGGAGAAAACGGAACCCTCATACACTGCTAGTGGAAATGCAAACTGGGGCAGCCACCATGGGAAATGGTATGGAGATTTTTCAAAAAACTGAAAACAGAAATACCATGGAATCCAGCTATCCCACTACTGGGTATTTATCCAAAGAACTTGAAATCAATGATCCAAAGAGATTTATGCACCCCTATGTTCATTGCAGCATTATCCACAATAGCCAAGACATAGAAGCAACCCAAGTGCCCTTCTACATATGAACGGATAAAAAAGATGTGGTACATATACATGGAATACTATTCAGCAATAAAAAAGACAAAATCATCACATTTGCAACAACATGGATGGATCTTGCGTGTATGATGTTAAGCAAAATAAGCCAGACAGAGAAAGACAAACATTGCATGATTTCACTCATATGTGGAAGATAACAAATACATGGATAAAGAGAAAAGATTAGCAGTTACCAGAGGGGAAGGGGGTTTGGGGGCAGGCGAAAGGGGTAAATGGGCATATATGCATGGTGACAGACAAAAATTAGACTATTGGCAGTGAGCATGATGAAGACTTCAGAAACTGATAAATATCAATGTACACCCAAAATTAGATAACATTGTAAACCAACATTCTCTTGATAAAATTACTGGAAAAATGAGGTAATTTGGGAAAAACGCAAGTGTAAAAATAACAGGGAATACTATTACAAATACCTGGGTAGTTCACTCATCTGTAACATGGTTATATTAACTAAACCTACCTTAATGGGTTGCTATAAGAAATCAAATTAAATAATAATGATAAAGTGCTTAGACAGTGGTTCTCAATGCTAGTTGGTCATTATAATTACCTGTTGGTCTTTAAAAACTTACTGATGTGCTGGTTACAACCTAGAACCAATTAAAGCAGAATGTCTACATATAAATCCTTTGGTCATACTAACACATAGCTAGGATAGAAAGAACCATTGCCAGGAATGTAGTAAATGTTCCATTAATGTTAACATTTATCATTACTACCATTATTAACTACTACTCATATTAAACATATAAATATTTAATCACACTTGCTTCAGAACTCATTTATTATTGATAAATTTAAGGGTTTTTGCTATCCCTGCATGATTCCTTTATTTTTCACTTCAGTTGCCCAAAGGCAAACACTGTCAAGAATTTGGTGGATGTATTTTCCTGTCAATGTTTCCACAATATCAGTATTGGTTTATGTATTCATAAACAGTTTTCTTGAAAAATTACCTAAATACTATCATAA